GCCTGGGCTCGCCATCCCAGGATCGCTGGACTAGGATGGGGGATGGGCCTGTGACAGGAGGTACCCTGGGTGTCCTCTTTCGGCCCCATGGAGTCCTCTTCCATTCCCCAGTCATCAGGGAACTCTTCCACTTTGGGGAGGGTTCCTCAAACCCCAGGTCCCTCTACTGCCAGTGGGGTCCCGGAGGTGGGGCTGCGGGACGTAGCTTCGGAATCCGTGGCCCTCTTCTTCATGCTCCTGCTGGACTTGACTGCTGTGGCTGGCAATGCCGCTGTGATGGCCGTGATCGCCAAGACGCCCGCCCTCCGAAAATTTGTCTTCGTCTTCCACCTCTGCCTGGTGGACCTGCTGGCTGCCCTGACCCTCATGCCCCTGGCCATGCTCTCCAGCTCCGCCCTCTTTGACCACGCCCTCTTCGGGGAGGTGGCCTGCCGCCTCTACTTGTTCCTGAGCGTGTGCTTTGTCAGCCTGGCCATCCTCTCGGTGTCGGCCATCAATGTGGAGCGCTACTATTACGTGGTCCACCCCATGCGCTACGAGGTGCGCATGACGCTGGGGCTGGTGGCCTCTGTGCTGGTGGGTGTGTGGGTGAAGGCCTTGGCCATGGCTTCTGTGCCAGTGTTGGGAAGGGTCTCCTGGGAGGAAGGAGCTCCCAGTGTCCCCCCAGGCTGTTCACTCCAGTGGAGCCACAGTGCCTACTGCCAGCTTTTTGTGGTGGTCTTTGCTGTCCTTTACTTCCTGCTGCCCCTGCTCCTCATCCTTGTGGTCTACTGCAGCATGTTTCGAGTGGCCCGCGTGGCTGCCATGCAGCACGGGCCACTGCCCACGTGGATGGAGACACCCCGGCAACGCTCCGAATCTCTCAGCAGCCGCTCCACGATGGTCACCAGCTCGGGGGCCCCCCAGACCACCCCACACCGGACGTTTGGGGGAGGGAAAGCAGCAGTGGTTCTCCTGGCTGTGGGGGGACAGTTCCTGCTCTGTTGGTTGCCCTACTTCTCTTTCCACCTCTATGTGGCCCTGAGTGCTCAGCCCATTTCACCTGGGCAGGTGGAGAGTGTGGTGACCTGGATCGGCTACTTTTGCTTCACTTCCAACCCTTTCTTCTATGGATGTCTCAACCGACAGATCCGGGGGGAGCTCAGCAAGCAGTTTGTCTGCTTCTTCAAGCCAGCTCCAGAGGAGGAGCTGAGGCTGCCTAGCCGGGAGGGCTCCATTGAGGAGAACTTCCTGCAGTTCCTTCAGGGGACTGGCTGTCCCTCTGAGTCCTGGGTTTCCCGGCCCCTACCCAGCCCCAAGCAGGAACCACCTGCTGTTGACTTTCGAATCCCAGGCCAGATAGCTGAGGAGACCTCTGAGTTCCTGGAGCAGCAACTCACCAGCGACATCATCATGTCAGACAGCTACCTCCGTCCTGCCCCCTCACCCCGGCTGGAGTCATGATGGGCCGCTGGACACTTGGAGGATATGGGGCTGGGACCAGTTATGATCGCAAGGACCACCTTGTGGGATCACCTTTTCCCAGCTGGCTAGGGCTGAGGCTGGGGTCTCTGCACATGGCGTTTGCTTAGTGTTTCCTGGGTCAGAAACAGAGCCAACAGGATGAACGTGTGCAAAAGTCTTGGACTTGGCTGTGATCTTGGACTGCCGGGGGAGGGAACCTGGGTATGGTGAGACGGTGATGAGAGAAAAGGGTCACAAAGGTGAGGTAAAGGCTCTCATCCAGTAAACTTTCCATGCCACCAGAGGCAGGGAAGTCTCTAAGGGTAGGAGTTGGAGGATACAAGGCAGCAGACCAGGTTTGGAGTTATTCTAGGGGCCATTTAGGATATTTTATTTTTCAGTGTGATTGTCCAGGGCAGTAATTGCACCCAAGCAAGGTAAGAAAATGACCCACGTTTTCTCATTTCCTTGCTAGGTTTAAAAAGAACTAAATTACAGCCAAGTGTTTCCATTTGAGTTAATAGATCTTTTTTTTCTGGCTTTATACCTGAGATTTCCTTAAAGCGAGAGGACCAGTAGGGTATATTCCTTCACTGAGTTTGGCCAGAAACAAGACAAAATAGCAATTAGGATACATGGAGTAGAAGACAGTAAAGTCTTTTCTCCCACTCTTCAGAAAAGCCTTTCTGTTCTATTTTTCTGTCTCTCTTCTGCACACAGGAGATCAAGGATGGAGCCTGATCTCAGCAGAGACAAGAATAAGGCAGGATGGCTTTTCCTCCCTTTTAGGAGGAAGTACTAGAATGACTGGGGGTCAGATGGGTGAGGGTGGGGGTTGGCATTTGAATTGGTAAAATGGCTAGATACAGAGAGGCCAGGTAATCAGCCTGATCAATAATACCTTGAATCTTTTCTTTCCAGGACTGGCCTCCCTGATCTCTCTCCTCATGGCAGTGACCCACCTCCAGCCCCCTGGACAATCGGGTGCAAGAGACTAAGGTTGGGCATGGGAAGGGTGGGGTTTCCATGATCCATTAAATGCCTCCCTACCCCCATTCATCGCTCTCAAAATTAGCTTCAGTGACAAAGACTTAAATCTCTCTCCTATCTGCAGCACTGGGTTGGAGAGAGGGCACAGGAATTGGTCTTGGCTGTTCACTGATTGAGACTGTAGGAACTGTGTTGGTTGGTATTGGTGGTGGTATTTTCAACAAAGAGGGAATAATTGCAAACTGGACAGGACACCCATCTGGGACCACCTGTCCATCCTACTTCCCTGAATTGAATCAGGTAACACTAAAGGGTCAAGGCAGGGCCAGAGGGTGGTGTGGTCTGTATTTGATCAAATTCCTGGCTCACTGAGGATCAAACGGGGAAATGGGCTGGTAGGAGTGGGATAGTCTCCCCTTTAAACAGCTAATAAATAATTTTTATGATAAAAGGTTATACTGATATCAACATTGACTCCTTTAGTTCAATTCAGTGCATAATAGTTGGATACCCACCAGTCCCTGGGAGCCGCACAGTGTGTGGTCACTGCTTTTAAGGAGTTCATAGTCTAATTTGATCAGATACCTTGTATTTTTACAGAGCACTTAGATCTGATAAAGCACTACAGAATGTGCCTGAGAAATATATTGGAGAATATATCCATGGCTCCGACTTCTGAGAGTTCAGTCCATGGCAGCAAGTTGCATACCTGCAAGCTTCCTGCAGACTGTAGAAAGCATGGGCAGTATAAATGAAACTCTCTAATGAAGCAAAAAAGTTAAATGAAACTGGGCAAACAGCTTTCCCCCTTGTGTTCTAGGAATATTTCTAGGATTTCTAGGTTTGTCTTCCTATCACTAGGCTATTATACCAGTCTAGTGCCTATTACATTGAGGAAATCCCCTAAAAACATAGTATATAGCGGGAGGAGAGTCCTTTGTGATTGAAAAACATGTTCACCTCTTCTCTCTATTAAAATAAATGCATACTGAGGAATCAATCATTCCTAGACAGGAAAAAAAACTTCTGGCAAACACCACTGATCAGCTAGTAGATCCAAAGCATTGCCAGCAGGTGGCAGTGTGAGGCCGATGGAAGGACGAAAGGCGATTGCATGTGGTGAAAGGGGGAAGAGGAGGGCATTAAACATTGCCTGGCAGCCATTTTGTTAATTTATTTTGCCTTTTCCTTTGACTTTGCCCTCCAACCCTTCCTTCACATACATCAAAGAAGAAAGTTTTAAGAGCAAGAGTATCTTTAATTCAGGCTGAAATTTCCTGACACTGTGATCTCACTGGTGTTTATTACAGAGTGTGACATACATGGGTTCATTTGCCATTTATTTTTCCCTGTAGGAGTGGATCATGAAGGAAATAAAAATTTCTCTCTTATTATGCTGAGAACTTTCCCAGCAATTTCTGCTGTGTTCACCTTCCAGGAGTTTTCTAGTCACCAGGATGCCTTGGTAAAGTTCAGTACGTAATCTTTGGCTCTGAAAGCTGTTCCTGGACAAAATCTGACCTCTCTAACTCACTGAAGAATCAACAGATTGAGGCAACCATCCGGTCAGTTACTTTTTCCTGCATCCTGCTGGTGTTGGGGTAACTCCCAATCCTAGATGAAAACCATAGGCTTTCTGTTGTCAGGTGTCTCCAGGCAATATCCTACAGGGGCATGATAGAAAGGGGCAACTCTGGAGTCAGACAGATCTACTTACTTACTGTGTGAAGTTGGGAAAGCTGCTTAATTTCTCTGAGCCTACTTCCTCACCTGTAAAAATGGGGATCATTATTACCTACCTCACAGGGTTGTTGTGAGGATTAAGAGATGGGATGTGGAAGCACCTTAGCCATACCTGGCAAATAGGTACTCAATAAATACTGGTTTTACTTCCCTTTCCTCTTGCCCTTTTTCCCCAAAAGTATTGATAAGGAAAAAGCAGTCCCTTTCACTCTAACAGTCATTTGGGAATGACTGGGGGACTTTTCGAACCTTGAAGAATTGGCATTGGTAAGAGTTATGGTGGATAAGGCTGTTTTAAGATGGCTCAAATCCTCTAATTAAATCCTTCTAATTAATGAATCATCACTATATATAGACCTCTCTGTTGGAACCTTACATTCTAAAGTTCAGATTCTGTTAGAGAAAGAAAGTAATTTACAATCACAGAGAAAGGTTTTAAAGACTGAGTTCCCTTCGGTAGACTGTATGGTAAATGTGGACTTATTTGGCTGAGAAGTTAATTTAGGACTACCTTCATGCAGTATCCAGGGTTACTAGTGAAAGAAGCTATCAGCCTGGCTTTCACAGTGGACTTAAGTGTCAGGTGATACTAGGGCTGAGAGGCAAATTTTATTAGAGCTTCTCCTTTTGTATGTTACCGCAACCGGAAATCTTAGTAGAAGATTCACAGGGATGCACTTGTTTGTTTTGGGGTGTGGAATTGAAGTTGACGTATCTTGGTTTTAGTTCTAATAAGACTCTAAGGTAGTAAGATCTGGCTTATACTGAAGAGAAGGGCAGCGGGGAAATTTTATGGAGGAACTACAGGCTTAACCCTTTGAAGTTACCGAGTATCTGCCAGCGATTTCAAGCGGCCTTTTGCCAGCATAGGAGTTAAGCAGATCTCAAGACCACAGAAATACGTCCATAATAGCATAAGGACCAGCGGACATTTTGAGAGGAGTTAGTGGGCCAGAGAGGGCAGAAAGGTCCTAGGCACAGTCGATGTTACAATCTCAGAGGTGAGATGTGAACGGGGCCCAGGCCAAGCAGTTTGTTCCCATTCCATTGATCTGACATAACCCCAACGGAGGCAGTGTCCCACATCTGGGTAGGGGTCCCGGGTCTCCACAGCCAGAGATCAAAGGGGTTTTCCGGCAGGCGAGAAATTCCCACGCGGGATGTAGGCTTAAATTCAGAAATCTCCGCCCCAAAACTGGCATTACGAGTTGGGAGGCCCCGCTTTTCCTCCATTTTACCAAATCAGGTAGCCGAAAGGTAAACGAGGCTTCAAGTTGGGCGGCGGGCAGCGAACTTCACAGAATCTCGAAGCTCCACTGATCCGCCGCCCAGCCCAGTCGCCCGATCCCCGTGACTTCCGCTTTCGGTCTCAATTTCTCTCCCAGAGGAGAGTGGCTTAAAGTGTAAAGGCCGCGGGGCGTCGCCGGAAATGTCGTAAACGCCGGATATCCGGTTCTTCTGGGCGCTAAGGGAGTTGACGGAGAGGGCCGCCGCCCAGCAGTAGACGCTGCCTCAGCCTGCCGAGTGGCAGTTCCCGCGGTGTGTGAGTGAGCCCGGGCCCGTGTCCCCTCTCCCGCCGCCGCCATGGGCTGCACGTTGAGCGCCGAAGACAAGGCGGCAGTGGAGCGAAGCAAGATGATCGACCGCAACTTACGGGAGGACGGGGAGAAAGCGGCCAAAGAAGTGAAGCTGCTGCTACTCGGTGAGGGGCTGGAGGCGGGCACGGAGTGGTAGTCGGGAGAGCCAAGGCGTTTTGGAAGGCCTCAACGGGGTCTGGTCGGGCCGACGGAAAGGACCTTAAAGGGATCTGGAGGGCGTGGCGGGTGTGGGGCGGGGTGTTGGGGTTCATAGCTGAGGCCCCAGAGGGTGTGATGAGGGGGGTGGGGTTTTGGGGTTGCAGGAATTCGGCTGTGGAGGGCGTGACTCCGGGCTGGAATTGCGTTTAGCTGAGAGAGCTTGGGAGTATGGGGCCGTAGGATATTGAGGCAGTAGGAATATGGTAGAAGTTCGTAAACGAAGAGTTGATGTTAGGGAAGGTTTTACATTGGGTTGCAGCGTGTCGGTAACGAGGACAGGATAGAGTATATTTTGGGCTCGTGTAATGGTTTGAAGCGTCGTCGTTCTTTGGCAGAATAAAGCTAGGAAGCTTGAATGGATGGTATAGAGGCTGGAACAGAATGGTCACATAAGGAGTCTCTTGATCTGTTAGAGGAACTTTGTATTATCCAGGAACATGAAGGTAGGTAGGTGAGTTAAACAGCAAGTTATCAGGTATAAAGGAAAAGAGCTTGGGTGCAGAGGCCATCGCTTACTTTTCCACCGTTTTCTGTCATTTTCATTTTAAAGGTTTTATAATTCCTTTCTGTGTTTTCATAAAAGGTTGGGAAATGGTGTGAGCTGAAGAAATTTAAAGAATGATTTATTAGAGGTTTGTAGCAGAAAATCTAGTGGATGGGATTACACGTTGGAAGGTGCTGAACAGTTGCTATAGTTATCTTGGACAGTTGGAATAGTTATCTTGGACATATTTACTGTAAAGAGTAGACCTCTGGTGGCTGTGTTATCCTTTTTGGCCTCTTCAAAGCAAAACCAGTGGCTTAAGGAATTACTGTTTATGTTACCTCGTAGTCGTTTTAAGTGGTTTTTTTGTACAGTCCGGATGTATTTTACTTAGCATGAGTTTTAAAATTTTTGAGAGGTTCAGTAAATCATACAAAGACTTTTGGCATTAGCTTACTAATAAATCACTATTATTATTTTCTAGGGTAGTATTTCTGTTAGAGAAGAATAAGTAGGAGTAGTGGTTTCTGTAAGCAATAAAACTTTACTTTTTAAAACAATTGATTTTCGAGAACAAGGAGTCACTTTAGGGGAAGTACTAAATTTTTGTGGTATAAAGCTCCAGAGGACAGAATGTGCCACTGTAACCCAAGACTTATTTTGTACTCCAGGACATTCTAAGTGCCCCTGCTAGTCTCTTCGTGTTAACGTATTTGGTTAGTAGTAGATTGCAGAAGCTCTGGTAATAGCTTTTTTGGATATACTATAAAGGGAAAGTTATGTATTGGAGCTTAAGCTTCTGGTTTGTATACTTGACCTTTCAGAAGATGCAAGTTCAGATTGTAGTTCTAGACTGCCACTGTCTGTATAGCAGGTGGATAAGCATGGTCCCTGGTGCATAATATGTACTCCTTAACTGTTTACTTTTAACCAGCCTGAGCCAGCTAATATTGAACATTGGTTCGTGGTGCCTTTGCGAAATTTGATATAAACTGTGACATTCAGGGTGTTAACAATTTATTTCTTGATTATGAAATTAAAGATGTATTCTCATTTTCTGCGAGTGATTTGATTTACATTGAACAATAGAGATACCCTCAGGACATCAGCCTATTGTAATGTACTTGGAAACTTTGAGACTTTCTTCCAAAAGGCAGGATTAGGCAGACAGAATTTGGACAGGCGTAACTTGTCCAAATGTCTAGAAGAATTTTTATTCAGGATTTTATACGTAGTGCATTTAGTTAGAAACAAAATTAAACACTTGATGACTTAGGAAACTTGAAAAGCAGTAAGTAAAAATCAAAGTACTGAACATACTTGCTTTTAATTTTTACCAACTTCATTCTTTTTTAAGAAAGATTTTAAAAAATATTCTTGAGCAAGTTTAATCCACAAATTCAAAAAGGTTGCAGAAACAGATGTTCTTGCTTGAGCCATATCATAACACACATAGAAAATTAAAATCTTCTCTTTCTATAAGCAAAATATACTCAAAACAGTATGCAATTTTTTTCCTGGATAATATCTCCTTTGCTGTAAATGCAAGTCATTTTTACTTCATCACTATGGAACTTAGTTTAAGCTGAGATCTATCTACTTATCCTTGTGTCTCCTGGCACATGATATGGGGGTGTAGTTTAACATGGTGATTAATGCATGGGTCCTGAAGTCAGAGTGCTTCAAATCCTAATTCCCGTTTACTAGTTATAACCTTGGGAAAGTTAATTTCTCTCGGCCTCAGTGTTCTTATCTTTAAAATGGAGAAAATAGAGCTACTTCTGGGATTGCTGTGAGGATTAAATATGCCAAAAATGTAAAGCAGAACACAGCTTGGCACATAGTGTAGTACTAGCTATGAAGATTAGCTATTATTATTAAGTCAAAATGAATGTTACAGATTATAGGTATTATGGAAATTATACCAAATTAAGAAGCTAGTATGGGCCAGATTATTAACAGAAACTTCAGTATTGTAATTCTTCCTTTGATAACCTTTAGTTTGAATTTCCTTTAGATGTTCTTGGAAAGGGCTGGGCTTGGTGGCTCATGCCAGTAATCCCAGCACTTTTTGAGGCTGAGGCTAGTGGATCACCTGAGATCAGGAGTTCAAGACCAGCCTGGCCAACATGGAGAAACTGCATCTCTGCTAAAAAATACAAAAATTAGCTGGGTATAGTGGAAGCTACTCAGGAGGCTGAGGCAGGAGAATCACTTGAACCTAGGAGGTGGAGGTTGGAATGAGCAGAGGCGGCACCACTGCACTCCAGCCTGGGTGACAAAGTGAGACTCTGTCTCAAAAAAAAAAGATGTTCCTAGAAAGATCTTGATATGTCAAATTAGTGTTTAATTATTATATTACATTGAAAAAATACACAGAGCTTCGCAACCAATGTTCAGTGTTTAGGATGGCTTATAGGTGTGCTGTTTACAATTTTTTTTTATAGCATTGAAGTTTTAAGTCATTTTTATAAATTCAGACTTTTACAACAGTTGAAATTACATTTGAACATCTTCGGTTTCCTTTAAAATTCCCGAATTTGGTAGCTTGGTTATTTATTATTTTTAAAAAGAGAGATGGGGTCTCATTATGTTTCCCAGGCTGGTCTCAAATGCTTGGCCTCATGTGATCCTCCTACCCCAGCCTCCCAAAGTGCTGGGATTACCAGTTCGAGCCACTGTGCATATCCTACCATCAATTTGGTAATTTGAAAAAATTTTATTTAGTATAAATACTAAATTTATACCAATTTAGTATTTAATATCATCTGTAATACTTTGTATTTTTTTCATGCCACAATTTCATAATATAGAGAAATTTCGTAGGTGTGCTTTTTTTTTTTTTTTATTCCTGGGGCAAGAAGAAACATTTTTTTTTTTCACCAAGCTCTTTCAGCTCACCGCAGTGAGCCTTATAAATATCTTTTTTTTTTTTTTTTTTTTTTTTTTTGAGACAGAGTCTTGCTCTGTCACCAGGCTGGAGTGCAGTGGTGCGATCTGGGCTCATTGCAACCTCCACCTCCTGGGTTCAAGTGATTCTCCTGCCTCAGCCTCCTGAGTAGGTGGGACTACAGGCAAGTACCACCATATCCAGCTAATTTTTGTATTTTTAGTAGAGATGGGGGTTTCACCATGTTGGCCAGGATGGTCTCGAACTCCTGACCTCGTAATCCGCCCTCCTTGACCTCCCAAAGTGCTGGGATTACAGGCGTGAGCCACTGCTCCCAGCACACATATCATTTTTAATGTGTGATTAAGAGTGATATTTTATCATTTGACATCATGTGACAAAGGTTGGGAAGCACTGGTATAAAAGATAAGAGCACTGCTTTTGGATTCACACAAATTTAAGTTCCACCTCCATTTGTTAGCTCTGAGACCCAGAGCAAGTAACTTAACCATATGAATCATTTTTACATATGTAAAGCAAGGATGATGATATTTCATAATATGAAATGAGATAATGGATGTAAAATGCTTCACATTAGGGCCTAGCAAAAAAATTCAGTTCTATCAGTGATGATGATTGTGAGACTTACCATTTTAGCTACTTTTTTCAGAGGTTTTTCAGACAGCTATTTGATTGTTTTTTATATTAATATATTCTTTTCAAAGATCTTCAAAGAATTTTAATAAATATCCTTTTGTGGTGAAAGAAATTAAATGTTATTTCTTTTTTTTTTTTACTCACCACTATACTAATGAGGATTTATTATTTAGTTTTGTAAGTTATTGAATGGTGTACTCTCTGAATTTCCATTTCTTGATAGTTTCTTTTAGTAGGTTCTGAGAAAACATAAAAAAAATGAGATTAATACTTTATTCTTTGGGATTTGCTAGTGGAAGTATGGCAAAAGAGAACTGGAATCATCTAATTTACTTAAACTCTATGTTATACAATTGATTATATTTAAATCTCTGCACATTATTGGCTGAATATGTTTATTACTGAGAATAAGACTGTCCTTTGGTAGACATGCCATTACATTACATCCTCCTATAGGATTATATCCTTTGTAATGTTTGCCGTTTACTTGGGATAAGGTTCATAGCCAGTTACATTTCGTGTGAGGATGCATCTTGCATCTCAGGAAAAAAAAAAAAAAAAAAACAACTTTGTGTTTTATAAGCACTTACTATTCTTTGTGTCTTTTATTTAAATGAATGAGTCACTTCTCTTTTCAAATGTTTCAGTAATTTTGGGGGAACAGGTTGTTTTTGATTACATGAATAAGTTTAGTGGTGATTTCTGAGATTTTGGTGTACCCATCGCCTGAGCAGTGTATGCTCTACCCAGTGTGTAGTCTTTTATCCCTCACCCCGCTCCCACTCTTTCCCCTGAGTCCCCAAAGTCCATTGTATCATTTTTATGCCTTTGCATCCTCATGGCTTGGCTCCCGCTTATGAGTGCGAATATACAAC